ACAAAATGATCATCTGACTATCTATATGCTCCAAACTTATCATTTTCCGTTAAAAAATTGACGGTCATCTGAGTTGAACGTTAACATGTTGGTCAGGATATGATAAAATATGATCATAAAACCATTTGAGATGTATTTTGTGGATCGGCTCTCCATTCACAATATATCATCGAACCAATGCTCGAAACATTATTTTGTCAAACCAATACTTGAAAGCAAAAATGGTGCTAGAGACGTCATTAAAATATTATTTTTATTATATCTCAATTAGCATGTTAACGTCCAACTTAGACCATCGTCAATTTTTTTAACAAAAAGGATGAGACTGGAACATATAAATAGTCGAATGACCATTTTGTAACTTTTAATAGTCAGAGAACTCAAGAAAAAAAGGTCATATAATCAATAAATCATTTTATAACTTTTAATAGTCGGAAGATTCAACAAAATAGCGTCCTATAATCAAGAGACTTTTGTATACTTTACCCTATGATTTTTTTGGGCATCGAAAAAGTATTCTTAGCATGTAAAAGAAAGAAACGTAGAAAGGGGAGAAAGGAGGGGGAAATGGCCTACCCATGCAACAAGATTTTGCTTTTTGCCTGGTCTCGTGGTGTCTATGGCTCTCCTTCCGGTGATCAACTCATGCAAAACAACTCCGAAACTAAAAACATCGGATTTCACCGTCAAACGTCCGGTTCTCTGATATTCGGTGGCACAATAACCGTACGTTCTCATGACCCTGGAAGATACATGCGTCTTATCCCCTACCGGTCCTAGCTTGGCTAACCCGAAATCAGTGTCTAGCATTGAACTCTTCATCCAGCAAGATATTGGACGATTTCAAATCTCGATAGATGACGGACAGTTTAGGCTTGTCATGATAATATTCTAAACCTTTTGAAGCACCTAATGCTATCTTCATTCTTGTATACCAATCTAATGGCTTCCGATGTGGTCTAATATCTGGAATTTTAAACGTAAGTGTAACTCGGGTTTAATCCCATTAGAAATCAAATGAAACTAAAACAAAAATTACCTAATAATGGTCCTCTAAAGATCCGAACGGCATGTATTCGTAAACCATGAAGCCTTTGATCACCGTCGGCACAATACAAGGTTTGGATGGTGCAAGAAGCTTAGCATCAACACCACAATAAGAAACTCTCTTTCCTTGTAATCCATTTCGATCAAGTTGTTTACTGCTTAACCTAAAAATGGAGGTATACCCATGGTGATTAAAATGATTCTCATGTACAATGTACAATCTATCTGTGCAAGTGTTAACATTAAAAGTATTCAAAGGTATAATTTCAAAAGATATCGTTTGATTAAATAATCATTTTGATATCTATTCTTTTTTTAATCATTTTAGCTATCAACTTTCCATTTTAGGACACAAATGCAACTATTCTCATACAATAATCGTTTGTTAACTAGTTGTTTCTATTCATGAACGAGTTATTTTGTCTAAAATGGAACACTTGGGGCCAAAATACTACAAAAAAGAAATTGAACTAAAGTCACTATTTATAAAGTAATTTTTGATATTATATGTATTGAAAATGAAAGAGCAAAACTTTGAGATTAAGCTATGAAGGCAAATGTTATGTTTTTACCTGGCCCATTTTTTCAAGTTTTCCCTTGTAAACCCGCCCAAACCCACCTTCCCCTAACAAACATTCTCTTCTGAAGTTCTTGGTTGCCATGGCTAATTCACGGAAGCTGAAAGTTTGTGCCTCAATGTTGTTCTTGTTGTCTTTAGAATCATCAGAAATCTCAAGAATTTCAGGTTCTGGGGCCCTTGGTTGAGGAACATCATCATCTGTTGACATCGAGACAAAAGCATCATGCATTATGTGAGCCAAAAATGCATAAATAATAAGTTTGCCTCTATAAAATAAAATTATGCATCTGTCCCTGTAAGAGACGTTTTAAAGATGTACCCATCAAATAAATAATAATGTTCTTAAGAACTCAAACTCGGAGGAGCTCTTGACTGCTTGTGTTTTGTTCCTTATGAGCCTATTGATTTTGACATTGTGCATCTCCTTCATGGACTTTTAACCTCTTGATCACTTATGTTCAGTAGTAAGATATTTTTGGACCATTTATAATAGTCTGGTTCGATTTAATTTTTATATTAATTTTAGATTTTATTTTAAAAAGTAACATTATTTTTTATATTTTTATATTATTTGATTAAGTTTTAAAGTTCTTTTATGTTAGGTATGGCTCATAAATATACCAGTAAAGAGGATAGGAGATGGAGCGGAGTGAGCGAAGTGAACATCAACTGTCCTTACAAAGAAAGTCTTGTTGTGGGGTTACGAATTATGTGGGTTGGGGGTGCGGGGGCGTAGACCCCGCGGTACGGTACAGGGTTAATTTTTTAATTATGTACCAGGGTTTTCTATTATAAATAGAGATGTAACCTAGACCTAAAATTCAATCATTGAATAAAATTCTAGCGCCGCCTAGGCACCGAGGACGTAAGCACATTTCCGAACCTCGTAAAATTCTCGTGTTCTTTCGTTTTCTTTACCCGTTTTCGTCAACAATTGGTATCAGATGTCAGGAGCAAAATTCGAAGTCGCAAAATTCGATGGTCAGGGTAACTTCGGATTATGGCAAACGAGGGTGAAGGATCTATTGGCGCAGCAAGGGATCTTGAAGGCTTTGCGATCTACAAAGCCGGCGTCGATGGATGAGGAAGATTGGGAAGAATTGCAGCAGCGAGCGGCAGGAACCATACGATTATGCTTGGCGGACGAGGTCATGTATCACGTCATGCATCTATCGTCTCCAGACGAAATTTGGAGGAAGTTGGAAAGTCAGTTTATGTCCAAATCCTTAACGACAAAACTGTATCTGAAGCAGCGGCTGTATGGGCTGAAGATGCAGGACGATCACGATTTGGCGCAACACGTGAATGTCTTCAATCAAATCGTTTCTGATCTGGCTCGGCTTGATGTGAAAATTGAAGATGAAGACAGAGCGATGATTATGTTGTGTTCGTTGCCTCCCTCTTACGAACACATGGTGACTACTCTTACATATGGGAAAGAGACTATCAATGTTGAGGAGATTACTGCAGCCTTGTTGGCTCACAACCAGCGGAAGCAGAATGCAGGGGAAAGCTCTCAAGCCGATAGCTTATATGTCAAGGGTAATCGAGATCGTGGACGGAAGCCAGAGAAGGCAGGTTCCGGGAAGCGGAATTCCAGATCCAAATCCAGGGATAAGAAGACGATTCACTGTTACAAGTGCAAGGAGGCGGGACATATGAAGCGAGATTGTCCGAAGTTGAAAAAGCAGACTGATGAGAAGCGTGATGGCTCATCCAAGTCTGTGAATGTGGTCGAGGATGATAATTCTGATTGCAGTGAGGGTGATATGCTTTCTATTTCAACGACACAATTGACGGATGCTTGGATTCTTGATTCTGGATGTTCTTATCACATCACGCCAAATAGGGAATGGTTTTCGACATACAGGCCGGTTAATTCTGGTTCGGTTTATTTGGGTGATGATCGATGTTGCAATATTGTTGGTATTGGTGATGTCAGAATTAAGATGCACGATGGCTCCGTTCGGATGTTGAGTGGTGTTCGACATATCCCAGACTTGAAGAAGAATTTGATTTCCTTGGGCACTTTGCACAAGAATGGTTTTATCCCTAAGGCTGACGAGGATAGGGAAACCATTCGGATTGTTAAAGGAGCATTGACTGTGATGAAAGGCAAGATGACTGCAGGGAATATCTACAGATTATTAGGGAGTACCGTTGCAGGTGGAGTTCACTCTGTTGAGTCCTGTGATGATACGACAAAATTGTGGCATATGCGCCTTGCTCATCTTAGTGAACGTGGTATGGCCGAATTACACAAGAGAAACTTGTTGCATGGTGTCAAAAGCTGTAAGCTCGACTTTTGCAAGTATTGTGTTCTTGGTAAACAGACTAAAGTCCGTTTCAAGACTGCGAAGCACACAACTCAAGGGATTCTTGATTATGTGCATTCTGATGTATGGGGGCCTTCCACGACATCGTCTTTGGGTGGATCTAGGTACTATGTTACTTTTATTGATGATTTTTCACGGAAAGTTTGGGTGTATTTTTTGAAACAGAAATCTGAAGTTTTTGAGAAGTTCAAGCTGTGGAAAGCTGAGGTAGAAAACCAAACAGGACGAAAAATCAAGTGTTTGCGGTCTGACAATGGTACGGAGTACACATATTCACAGTTCCTACAATTATGTAAGGAGCATGGGATTCAGAGGCATTTTACAGTGCGCAAGACACCACAACAGAATGGTGTTGCGGAACGAATGAACAGGTCGTTGAATGAAAGAGCCAGATGTTTGCGGTTGAATGCGGGGCTTCCCAAACACTTCTGGGCTGAGGCTGTTAACATGGCGTGTTACCTTATCAACAGATCGCCAAGGGCATCGCTGGCTGGGAAAGTTGTAGAAGAGGTATGGACTGGTCATGATGTTAGTTTTGATAACTTACGGATTTTTGGTTGTCCTGCTTATGTGCATGTACCTGCTGATGAGAGATCCAAACTTGATGCAAAATCGAAGGAGTGCATTTTTCTGGGTTACAAGAAAGGTGTCAAAGGATTCAAGTTCTGGGATCCAGTTGCGAAGAAAGTTGTGATTAGTAGAGATGTCGTTTTTGATGAACAGTCTATGTTGCAGCAGAAGCAAGACACGACAGTGGTAGATTTCGAGCAGTTTCCAGTTGAGAAACCAGAAACTTCTCAACCGACTTCTGGTGGTTCCACTACGGATGATTTGCAGGATTATAGTCTCGCCAGAGACAGGGTGAGACGGACGAATATAAAGCCTCCGAACAGATTGGGTTTTGAAGACTTGGTATCTTTTGCACTTACTGTTAGCAATGATGATCCAGTTACTTTTCATGATGCCGTTACTAGTCAGGAAAACGACAAGTGGATGGCAGCCATGGTTGAGGAGATGGAGTCTTTGAATCACAATCGCACATGGGAGTTAGTTCCCCTTCCTGAGGGTAAGAAGCCGATTGGTTGCAAATGGGTGTATAAGAAGAAACCAGCAGTAACAGAAAAAGAGGGGGAGAAGTTCAAGGCTCGTTTGGTAGCGAAGGGTTTTTCACAGCAGAAAGGAGTTGATTATGATGAAATCTTTTCTCCTGTGGTCAGGCACACTTCAATCCGAGCAGTACTTGCATTGGTGGCTAGTTGGGATTTGCATTTAGAGCAGATGAATGTTAAAACTACTTTTTTGCATGGTGATTTAGAGGAGCAGATCTACATGCGGCAACCTGAAGGTTTCACTCAACCTGGAAACGAGCATTTAGTTTGCAGATTGAAGAAATCTTTGTACGGGTTAAAACAGTCTCCGAGACAGTGGTATAAACGGTTTGACTCCTATATGATCAAGATTGGCTACAACCGATGTGAGTATGATTGTTGTGTCTATGTTAAGAGCCTTGATGATGGTTCTTTTATTTTTCTATTACTGTATGTTGATGATATGTTGATTGCTGCGAAGAACATGGATGATGTTATCGGTTTGAAAACTTTATTGAGTCAGGAATTTGATATGAAAGATTTAGGTGCTGCAAAGAAAATTCTTGGAATGGAAATTTGCAGGGACAGAGACTCAAGGAAACTGCGGCTATCTCAACGGGGTTATGTTGAGAAAATGCTAGAAAGGTTTGCGATGAGCAGCGCGAAACCAGTTAGCACTCCATTGGCGAATCACTTTAAGCTCTCATCAGAACAGTTCCCTAAGACAGATAAGGAAGCTGAAAATATGGCAAAGGTTCCGTATTCTAATGCTGTTGGCTGCTTGATGTATGCGATGGTATGTACTCGTCCTGATTTAGCTCATGCTGTTAGTCAAGTTTGTAAGTACATGTCTAAACCTGGTAAGCAACATTGGGATGCAGTCAAGTGGATCTTTCGGTACTTAAAGGGTACTGTGGGACATGGAATTGTTTTTGGGAGTCAGCGGGATAATCCTTTGGTTGTAGGATATGTGGATTCAGATTATGCAGGTGACTTGGATAATAGAAGATCTACGACAGGGTATGTGTTTACTCTTGGTAGAGGGCCTATTTGTTGGAAGTCTACTGTTCAATCTGTCGTGGCACTATCTACAACTGAAGCTGAATACATGGCAGTGGCTGAAGCTGCAAAAGAAGCTTTATGGCTTACTGGTTTAGTGAAGGAGTTGGGTGTTCAACAAGGTGGAGTTCAGTTGCTTTGTGATAATCAAAGTGCTATTCACTTGGCTAAGAATCAGGTGTATCGTGCTAGAACTAAACATATTGATGTAAGGTTCCACAAGATCAGAGAGTTGGTTGCATCTGAAGAGGTTTTGTTTCAGAAGGTACATACTGATGAGAATGCCGCTGATATGTTCACTAAGCCAGTTACGACAGACAAGTTCAAGCATTGCTTGGACTTGTTGAATGTTTCGAGTTGTTAAAGAATCAAGGTAACCCAACCCACATTGTATTTTTCAAGAGGCAGGATATTCGCCAAGGTGGGGATTTGTTAGGTATGGCTCATAAATATACCAGTAAAGAGGATAGGAGATGGAGCGGAGTGAGCGAAGTGAACATCAACTGTCCTTACAAAGAAAGTCTCGTTGTGGGGTTACGAATTATGTGGGTTGGGGGTGCGGGGGCGCAGCCCCCGCGGTACGGTACAGGGTTAATTTTGTAATTATGTACCAGGGTTTTCTATTATAAATAGAGATGTAACCTAGACCTAAAATTCAATCATTGAATAAAATTCTAGCGCCGCCTAGGCACCGAGGACGTAAGCACATTGCCGAACCTCGTAAAATTCTCGTGTTCTTTCGTTTTCTTTACCCGTTTTCGTCAACATTTTATGATAGAATAAACACATTTGATCGATTGATCAAGTTACTCCTCTTTGTTTTATCATTTTTTTTGGGTACTAGGTCGATTAGGAGCAGTCTCATTCTATTCTTTAGAGTCTCTCCTTCCACTCCTCTCCAGATAAGATTAAAATTAAATTTAGAATTTATCTTCCACGAGAGATAAAATTAAGATTATATTTAAAATTTATCAGAAAAAATTCTAACAAATATATTTTTAAAATAATATATCTAAGTAAATAAAAACGTTTAATATAATTCTTTTTTTTGGATAAATAATTTATATTTCATCCAAAAGAAAAGCAACATAGCTACTACAAAGAAACAATCAACGTACTAGATCAGACCTCAATTAGTGAACAAAAACCTATTAGCATCATCAATCCTATGTATATAATTCCTATACAACTTGATCTTTACAACCTCTTTAATCCTATATACAATTGTGTCAGCAGAACGAGAATGTCCCCCTAAAACACCTATGGTTACACTCCTCCCAAATGTAGTACAGGAAACCAGTCCAAGCAAGCTTAAGATTTTACGCTCGGAGGGATTTACCTTTCAAGTTCACAACCAACCAGCTAAGACATTCATCCCAGCTTTGCATGTCATAACGAATCCAACATAAAGCTAAGATAGTCCTCCAGACTTCCTTAGCAAAGAAACAACCTGTAAAGAGATGGTCTCGAGATTCTAGACCAGTTTAATATAATTATTATATAATAATTTTAATTTGTTTTCATTGTCGGTTTCAAAATTTGTCCAGGTCGACCCAAAACTAAGACAAAACCCAAATTTTGTCTACGTCAGCCCAACCTACTAAGGTATATTTTACCAAAACAACTACCTGAAACTCGGATTCAACCCAAATTTATTCACGCTTATCCGAAAGTCTTTCTCCCACGGAAATAATGTTAAACTCAATCTCCAACAAATTTGATCAATTGTGCCAAGCAAGTGATCTCAATAATAAAAGAGTTGTTGTTATTTATTGAAGTATCGGGTTCGAGCATCATAAATATCAAAAGTATAAATATTTAATGTAAAATAGTTGAGAGTTATCTTTGAATAAATATTATCTTATACTAACTCTAGATTAATACAAAAAAATAAAATTAAAACTATTTTTAGGGTCTAAATGATAAACACATAAATAATTTATGTACCGACATGAATTTGTCAAATTTATGATACATACATGAAATTAAAATTATAAACGAACTTAATGTTAAAACCTCGACTAAAATGGGTTAGAATTCATCCTTAATTTTGATACCAAAACTTGGGAATTATTTTTGTAAAATATTATTCATGTAAGTAATAAAGGTTAAAAAAATTAACTTTAAAGGATTTAAAATACAATTTCAAACAAGTTCACTTGAATTCAAAATTGAGGGTTTGATCTTTTTTTCTCAAGAGATCGGTTCTTTTAATGAATGGATTACTCATATATTTGTATTACTCACAACATGCCACCTGTCCCTGTTGTTATTATTGTATTAAGTTATATTATTACATATGTATATTTATTGTTTTATGTTTTAAAGCGTGTATTTTTTTAAGAAAAAGTTTCTTCTACATTTAAAAATAAATAAAGATAATATATTCTTTTATTAAAATGGTTGATGGGGGTAGTCTTCAAAATAACCAGAGGACAATCTTGTTAAATATTCTTAATGAGAAAATATCCTTTATAAAATCTAATGAACAATCTTTTAAATATCAATGATTAATTTGAACATTTTATTCAAAATTCACTCATCAAATAAAGTTATATTCATATTTTAATTTCAAATATTACATTCTAAATTTAAATTTTTCATTTTCAAAGATTGAGATAACATATGGTTAATAAGATATCAATTTTGAACATTTGGACATTTAACTTTTCTAATGTAATCAACTATTGAATCTTACTTTTGTTTTTATTACTCTATTTTTTTTTATTAAGCTAAGGTGATTATAAAGTAATATATCTTCTAAGTATTCTCGACTATTCGATAATGAACACTCAATTATTTTTATAGTAGTTGGTACTTGAACTCGTGACCTCTAAGAATAATAATAATTCCTTTAAACAGTCTTAATGTGGCATGTCATATCAAAACGATGTCGTTTTGATGTGGTTGTTTCAATGCCTAAAACGATGTCGTTTTAGACATTAAAATTTAGTGGTGTATCGATTATACCACTAAACGATGTATTTTTTACCACTGCATTTTTCAACCACCGCTAGCAATCAATCGTCGCCCGTCACTGATAATCTTTCGCAGGAAAATCGATACAAAATTTTCGCATTTGACTCTTCATTCTCATATGATTAGTTTCCCATGAAACTCATTCAAAATCGACGAAATTAAACACACAAAAAAATCTATCATTTTTCAGATATTTGAAGACTTTATTAGATTTACGGGATTATAGGTGTTTGTTAAAAAAAATGAACAATGAAAAATATTATTTTGAGAATACGAAAATTTACCTCAAATCTAGCCTCATTGCCTCATTGGTTGGTAATCAAAAGAGATCGAAGTGTTGAGGAAGACGACTATCGGATAGAGCAAAATCGCAACTGATAATTTGAGAAAATAAAAATGAAGATAAAAGAGACACAAAATTTACGTGAAAAACCCCTAAAAATTTAGGGTAAAAACCACGGGCAACGGTAGAAGAATTTCACTATGAGAAAATAGGAATTACAACCTCTCTCGATCTACCAAGGAGAAAACAATGATAATTCTCTCTAGATAAAAAGGAGAAAACAACTCTCTAAAATCTCTCTAGTATTGGAAGAAAGCTAGAATGCTTTGGGATGATTTTGAAGCTAAATGAGCTAGGGTATTTATAGTTGAAACATAAGGACTAATTTATAAATACCCTAAAGTTTAGTGACTAAATTTAATTATCTCATTTAATATTTAAACAAAAATTTACATACCTTTTTGACTAAAATATGCCGGTGGATTATTTTAATTCACCTTTCGGTGGATTTGCTTATTTTTCAACAATCTCCCACTTGAAGATTTGATTGGAACAATCATATCTTCACACCATTCTTTCTACCTTGTACCTTCATGTTGCTTATGTCTCTGACAGACCACAGAAGGATCGACACCAAGTAA